ATTGGAGAAAATAAATAAACAACATTATTACAATATATCGTAAAACGCAAAATCGCAAATCGTGTTCAGTGGGACCGTACCTTTAGTAATTAACTAGTGTTTACTATTTAATATTTATATTTAAAATATATTCATTAATTAGATTTAGTTTAATAGTTAATAGTTATTATATTTTAATAATTATTTGATATTTTTATTTTTTATTCTGTAATTTTAGTAAGTTAATAAGTAATTAATAAAACAAACAATAAAAATCTGTAATTATGAATTCATTTAATATTACCTATAAAAGTTAAAAGTATAATAATAAATAATAATATAAAATGTAAATATTTTAGTATTGTACATCGATATATCGCGATACGATATCCAGAAAAACTAAACGATATCGATATTAAAAATTATATCGTTGGCCAACACTACTAAATATAATTGGTAATTTCTTTCGTTCACAGTCTCAAAACTAAGTGTAATTTTTACAATTTTAAAATATTCACTATTTCTCTACATGTATAATGTATATTATATACTCTGAATATATGTATATAAATATAATGTATAATGTATCAAATAAGTTCGTTTAAATTCCATACCGCATGTAGCAACCTCGAATTTCCCTCAACACTCAATTGTTATCATGATGACGACACGATGAATGGGTAAGTACAATAAAAAACATAATAAGAAAAAGACGCAATTGGATTTGAATGTAATACTGTTCAAAAGTGATATGGGTTAGGAAAGAGGACACATTCTCAAAATGAAATTAACTTGGTAAAGAAGTTGGCTGGATGCATACGCGAGGACTCTTGACTTTAATAATCATCCCGACTTCACCAGGACCGTCTTACCGTATTTACGCTCAATATTTACAACAGCATAATATGCTGGTAATAAAATTCAAAGTTTAATAACGTACAATTTCAATGAACTGAATAAAAATAGAAATTAAATTAAATAATTCATTGCTTTAAATTATATAAACGTTTTATTCGACGAAGCTAATAAAAACATACGAGTAATATTAGTTTACTTATGAATCGTAATAATATTTAAGTACATATAAGTTTAAGTAATAACAAAAATTTACTAAGTACGTATAGTTAGCAAAAAGTAATTTTAAATTAATAAAATTAAAAATATTTAAAGTAAAATAAATATATACTATTCAATATTCATGTTTAAGATAGAATAACTTATATAGTATATAGTATATACTCATTATAGTTGTTTCTGAATTAAAGTATTTTTGAGGAAAAGAAATTCGATTTTTTTCAAATTATAGTGAGCATACCATTTCAAATATTAGAAATCTATACAACATTAATATTTATCAAATTTTTAAATTGACTATATAGTTCTTTATATTATATCTAATTGTATAATTAAAAATAATGCGTATGTATTTGAAACTATTGAAAACACGAAACATGAAAAATTCTATTTACAATTATAAATTACTAAAATTAAAAACAAAATTATTTTGGACTTATTAAAATCTACTAAGCTGCAGAATATATATTACGCACAAAAAATGAAATATATGTTTAAATCATGTCTTGTACTATCTTGTAACGACAGTGATGAGCAAAAAATACTTATATTATTAGTTTTATCTGAGTATTTTAGATATATATATACGTGTGATCATGATTTATGGTAACACTAAATATCTCAGGTGCATGACCTTGTATTGAACTGGGGTTTTCGGGAGGTGATAGGGAGCACTTAAATACATATTTTCAGACCAGTTTCAAATTTTTAGCTCACTCGGTACGCGCATGCGCAATACAACTTACTTTTTTTTAAATAGCAACCCCAGTTTTTTTCTGCAGATTCAGGTAGAGTATTTTTTTTTAAGCATTTTTTGTATCAACAGTTTTTTTCTATTTTCAAAATTGACCATGTTAGAGTAAGTCAAAATTTAGATTTATACATAATTCGTATTTAATGAAATTTTTATTTATAACCACTGGAAATAATAAAATAAGTGCCAAATAAATGTTTAATTTACTTTATCTATTTACAAATAATAATTTATTTTTACAATATGTTTAGTAAACTCTTATAATACGATTACAATTTAATAGTACCTAATATTAATATTAAATAAAAAATAAAATGTATTAAATACATTTATCTTATGAATTGTTCAAAATTTTCGCCATTATGTTCTAAACATGATTCAAGTCGCCTCAAAAATTCAGTCGAAGTTGCCGCCTTGATTTGTTCTTCACTTAAAATATCACATGCTGCTTGTATTTTGTTTTTTAAGTCCTGAAGATTGACAGGTGGATCTGCATAAACCACAGTCTTCAAATAACCCCATAAAAAGAAATCCAATGGCGTTAAATCTGGGGATCGTGCAGGCCAAGGAATGACGCCAAAAGTTCCAATCCAGCGATTCGGAAATATTTGATCTAAATGTCGTCCAACAATAATTGCATTGTGGGCTGGTGCTCCATCTTGCTGGAAAAACATACGTTCTCGTGTGTCTAATGAAACATCATCCAATAGTCTTGGTAGTTCATTGGTTAAAAAATTAAGGTATCGTTTGCCATTAAGTGTACCATCATAAAAGAACGGTCCTATTAGCTTTCCACCAACTAACCCACACCATACATTAAATACGAATTATGCATAAATCTAAATTTTGACTTACTCTAACATGGTCAATTTTAAAAATAGAAAAAAACTGTTGATACAAAAAATGCTTAAAAAAATAATACTCTACCTGAATCTGCAGAAAAAAACTGGGGTTGCCATTTAAAAAAAAGTAAGTTGTATTGCGCATGCGCGTACCGAGTGAGCTAAAAATTTGAAACTGGTCTGAAAATATGTATTTAAGTGCTCCCTATCACCTCCCGAAAACCCCAGTTCAATACAAGGTCATGCACCTGAGATATTTAGTGTTACCATAAATCGTGATCACACGTATATATGTTAAGCATAATATATTTAATTCAGAATATTAAAATATGTATAGTTGGAAAATGCTTATTTTTAGAATGCTCAGTATGTTCTGGAATACTATAATTTATTTCATATTGTAGTGTGTCTGCTTTTTTCTTATAAAATAAATAATGTATAAATATATTTATTATATAATAAATGGTTGTTTTTATTTTTTGAAACAAGACAACTGTTGACGATAAAAACAACTATTCGTTATATAATTCATAACAAATATTATCTGAGAAATTAAAGTTTAAGTCGCTTTTTTAATTTAGACTACGGAAAATTTAATTTATTAGTATTATGTTATTACAAACGTTGTAAACAGATCATTGACAATAAAAGCAAAATAATAAATAACTCTTGGCCAACATAACATAAATACAATATTAAGTATAACCTCAAATGAGTTACTAGGTTTGCAAAATTCTATTATTGATGGTCTACTAATATTGTAAAATATTTCATTTTTGGTTTCCAGAGCTATCTTTTAATAATAATAATAAAAAAAAAAAAACACTTTATAAATTATGTAACATTATGGAAGTTAACATATTATTGATTTTTTCAAGATATTATTTTTGTTAATTATTTTTCACTTTAATATACTATACTAACCAATAAAAAATACTAGTACCTAACATTAGTTTGAAAAAATATAATAAGCAAACGAAGAGTTAATACCGTGTAATAATTAACTGAAATTACAGTTTTATTGTTTACGTATGTTCATATTATTTATTAATATAATTAATAAATATTTTAAAAGTTTTCATTTATTTTTGATTTATTGAAGATTTTGTCACATACTTTATTTAAGGTTTAAAAGATGTGACAAAAAAATCTAAAGAAAATAAATAAAATATTTATAAAATAGTTAAGTCTTTTGCTAATTAAAAAGCTTTAACATAGCATTTTAATCGAAATCCTCCTTGACCACGAAACTTAAAACCAGATATAATAAAGACGACAAACTCTATAAAAGTTTAAAACTTAAGAAAATATCAATTGCTAATAAATCAGTCATCCATGCTTTTGCAAACTGTTCAATATTTATTTTCATACACTATTATACGAATAACTTTCTATCAATGAAAACAATTAAAAAATGAACGTACTATAGTTAAACTTGGCAAAAATTTACATAACAGAATAAAATATATCAACTCGCTTGGTTATTAGGATTATACACTTAATGATAGTTTGAAATTTTAGAAAATTAATCTTTGTATAACAATTACACATATACTAGACTTTAAAAGTAGCTAAGCACTTGCGATTTTCAATGTAGTGTATATTTTAAAATTTTCACAGAGTTAATTATTTTCAAAAGAATTGCGCAAACACATTATTATTTTACAATTGTCGTATTACACATTCTTCAACTATTTTATGGCTTAAAATTGTTATTAATCACAGAATTAATACATACTTTCGCATTAAAACTAAACATTTTTTTTTTTACATGACTAATGTTAAATAAAATAATATATTTAAATATTAAATACGTATTAGATACGATAATAAAATATATTGTTTTCAAATAGGTTTGACTAAAAATTATAGTTGAAACTTCAGAAATATATCATTTTATACAATATTTAAAAATGAAAATGAAAACTATTTTAACTTTTTGTATTTTATTACGATTTCCACAGGATTACTACAATATTAACAACTAAACATACCAATTTTTTTTTTTACTTTTGAATGTAGTAAAAATAACATTTTTACTAGATGTTAATATTCAAAAAATGGTTTTGTACTTATTTTCATAAATATATATAATATTATTTTTCACAAAATGTATGTTGATTTTTATTTTTAACATATAAAACTAAATACATTTTTAATTTTTGTCAATATCAGAAAATAACTTAACTATTATTAGAGAAATGAAAACTACCGTTTACAAAAAAAAAAAAAATAGCAAAAAAACACCATAATTACGTGATAAGAAATACAAAATTCAACTGAACTTTTATTTCTAAATAATTATATATATATATATATATATATATATATAAACAGTGTTTTTTACTTACAATTTACTTCTAGATTGCCGTACAAAAAAACCAACGCAACAAAAATCAAATTTCTGTTAAACATTTTGGATTGAAATTCTTGACGATAATTTATTTCAACGTTTGTTTTCACTGCAACTCACGCCTGTTTCATTCGTTTCAAACGCCATCTCTGCGGGACAAGTTGGTTACTCTAAAAAAAAAAAAAAAAATTAAAAATAAATATAATTCGAATATTTTAGCTATAAAATATAGCTAAATACACTTTGTTTTAAAGTTTTGTTTTTATAATGATTATTAAAACATGTACATAATATAGGTATCCTAGTCATGCATATTTAGTATATAAAACGTGTGAAATTGTTATTGGCACTATAATAGTATTTAAATTGCTAAATAAAAAGTAATGTATGTACATATTTTTCTACAATATCTAATTTCACGTAAAAAAAATTACTAACAAAAAAATAATCTGTAAACAACATGAAAAAATTGAATCAGATTTTTCTACCACTGACCCAACTTACACATCACCAAAGAATATTCTATGACATACCATTAACCATTGTTTAAATAATTAAATGATTATATTATTGCGCTATAATGTATACTATAAAGTACGTCTCATGAAACAAAACTGATAGAGTTCATATAGCAACGTGTAAAGGTTAATTGTTCGGGAAAATTGAATATAGTGATATTTAATCAAACGTTACTGGTAATAAATATTTATACCCGAAACGGACGGATTTTATTTGACTGGTATATTATCTTTTGTTGATGAGTGATTCATCAGCTATGCTATCTATTTATTACCCTTTATCATCAATTTCTTTAAATTATGATTTTTGCAATTTTTGCCATTGAAGTATTATTTTGTGGTGATACAAAATTCTTTTTTTTTAATGAGATTTACCCTTTTTTATTGTAAGTTGTTAACCAGATAGTATTTTTTTTTATATATATATTGAAGCATCTTAATCAAAATTCAAACGAGTAGTTTCTGAGTTATTAAACTTTGTATAATGATCATAGTCCTTAACAATAGTTTTACATAAAATATCAAATATTAATATATATATATATATATAATATTTATATATTTAATCTAGTATTTACGTATAATACAAATTATGCTTAAAAAGTATATTAATTACATTAATTTTCAAATAATTATAGCCCCCGCATCTTATTAACATATTTTTATAGACTATTATACTTAGTAATCAAGTACAATACTCAAAAGATAATTTAAATTTCATTTACATTTGTATTATAAATATTTTCAAATAAAGGAAAAAAAAGAAGATTCACATTTGAAAAAATGAAGTTATTATCATCATTACAGGGCACTTTTTATAAGAAATAAAATAATAAAAGTAGGTACCTATTTTAAAATGTTATTAGTAAACACATCCTTGATGTATTACTCTGTACATCATACAGCCGACTATTAACCTTTAGCGTATTTCCCAGTTTAATTTTGTTCAATCAATTTTTCTAATACCTACTATCCACTTAATAAAAATACTATTAGATATTTTAAAATATGATTATATTTAAGTAGTTATTAATTTATTAAAAAGCTTGAAGAATTCTCATTCGATTAGTGTACTTTGATAAATTACATGAAACCTTATAAACGGTCCTTAAATCAATTAATATTTATGCTTTTAATAAGAAAACACTTTTAAATAATAATATTTTCAACAAATGTTACACTACTCAGTATTTTATTATTTTCATCGCCGGTGTGTGTTCGATGTACAGATTGATTAGTGTGACGCAACGTAATAATTTGTATTGTAATTTACGTTTTTAAATAAAACGGCTGAAAAAAATTGTGAAAAAATACTTCATATTACGCCTAATTATTCATTAAAAAAACAAGTTAATTTTATTTTGTTTATACATATATTTATATTCATAAGCTATAAATACTATAATCACGTGCCCACCAATATCGGTTTGTTCACGATAAAATACCGTTTATCATTATATAACAATAGCTGGCAATGGATAAAACATAATATTATACTACCGCCCGTAACAATATGGTATATTGACCGATCTACCCTCCTACATTAACGGGGCATAAATATAAATAATCTACACTTGATCATTAGTTGGTAAAATTAATTTTAAGGGATTCTGGGAGATTATATCACTATTTAATAATAAAGTTTTTAAACGTTTCTTGTCTTTTAATAGAATAACTGGAATTTATAAACATATATAAATTTACTAAATAACTATAAAATTATATTACCAGTAATTTAGTGTTATAATTGTAACATTATTTAATTTTCTAATTAATTTATTAATATAAACAATCTCTTCAATACTGGTATTTAGAAACAATTGAACGATCAATAAAAGGAAATTATTCCAATTAATCCGGCAAGTAACAGGTAATTTTTAAGGTATATTCATTCTGTGCAGTCAATAATCTGGTCCCAGATCCCTTGCCTCTTCATACACGTAAAACTACTCTATTCATAAAAGTGGTAGAGCTTTAAACATAACTGTATACATTTTTTACTTGAATTTTACATAAAAAAAAAAAAAAAAAATGATCCAGTTAATAATTATCACTACAATTATTAAAATAGAACAAATCAAAAATAAAATTACAATAGTAGTGACATATTGGCACGAAAAAAAAATAATTTTACGTGTAAAAATACATGTAAAAATAAAAGTTATTTTATGTAGTGTCTTTGCTGGAAAACGCACCGTAAAACACGTGCGATTGGAATTAATCGTAAAAACAATACGAAACAACAGTAGTAGTTGAATAATTATCGTGATTAAGTCTACAACCGAAACTTAAAAAACATCTATGTTCGATTTTCATATATGGTAATTTCGTAATATTTCAAAATAACGGTAAGCTTAACCGTATTTTTCTCTACGCGACATTATATGATTTTTGATATTTTTGCGCAGAGTTGAATTTGATACCCCCACCCCCCCCCCTCCCTGTGTTTAGTTATATACTGTACTGGTATACCACAAGACCGATTTCTGTAATAAACTTCAATAACAAAACGGAAAAAAAATGTAGGTACCAAATCTTAAAACTGTTATGATACGTCATATACTTCAATTTCCAGGGATTTCTACTACATTTGTAATACGTTTGGACTGTTTTTGATTTGATAATAGTATAATAATACTATAATAAATAAAACGTCAAATTTATAATTTATGTGAGATCTCACTAGTTTATAAAACAAACCGTTTATTGAAATTAAAAGATAAAACACCGAAATCATTTTATATTTCAATGATAAAATTAATAAACTCTTTGAGGAGTATCTTTGCAAGTCACTCCTTTATAGTACAAAAATTCAAAAATTTCAAAATATGGTATTTGAGTTTATTTAAAAGTTCCGAAAATCATAATATGAATAAATTCATTATTAAAGAGAAAAATAGAGTTGAGAATACTTGGTGAATCATTCTGTACATCGCAATAGAATATTCTATTTTTCTAATAATTAGCCTATTTATCAAATAGAAGTAGCACATAAATAACTGTATTATTTTCCAAAAAATATAATTTTTGTTGAACATTTTTGTTTTTTCAATCATGAGCTAATATGATAATAATGACGAATTCAGCTAATCTTAGATAGTTAAGTAAACCTAAAAAATGGGAAGGAAAATTAATTTTAAATAACGATATACCTTTCGATTAAACGATATTTATGTATACGAGACATATGATTACATTTTATAGGTGTCCATATTATAGTCACCGGCTATGTCTTCACTGGTGAAGAGGGGATGTTACATTATAAATTTCGCTCAAATTATAATACATATAAATTCGAACAAATATTATGTTATTTTGGGTCATTCAACCAAATCAACACCGCCTGGTCGAATTAATAAAATATGAAGGTTTACGTACTACAAATTTTAATACTGTTTACCGTTCGTCGCGATATTTCTCCTCGCGAATTGTGAATAAACGGCTAAACTTGTTAAATTGTTTGTACGTCGTATAATCTAATGTACGTATAACAAGTATTAATTGCACGGGAGATTCCCATCAGATTTGTCACAACACTTACACGGAATATAAATATCCAAGTATATAAAACGAATCATTTTTTTAATAAGTTCTCTTTGAGAATCCAATAAAACGCCATTTAAATGTGATAGTGGTCAATCCACAGAGTATATAGGTACTATATGTTTTTATTTCTTGAAATTGCGAAATAGTCCTATAAATTTCCGGCTCCTGTTGTAAATATTCATGAAGATAATTAAAAATATAAACACCTACGTTTTTGTGATAGTTTATAATTTATAAATTCACTATAATATTATCATTTCACAGTCAAAAGTCATTTATTTTAGTAATTGTATATTATGTTTTTTTAATAAATTGTTATTAAAACTTGTAAAATAAGACTTTAAAAAAATATACATATATTAAAACTAAAAAAAAGTTTAGACGATTAAAAAAATATGAATATTTTTTCTATTTTTATGTGTAACAACAATGAATTAAAATTATTGAAAATTAATTTTCAAAAACACAAACTGACTGAAAAAATATACTATTAATAATTTCATATGAATTAAATAGTGATTAAAAGTTGTTATTTCTAAAATTAACGCTTGAAAGTTAATCATTGCTATATCTAAATGATTACGATGGTCTTGTCGGTGGAGAAATGAAATTTCCAATCTTACAAAGGCACGTTCTGTTTTTGACGATGCTTACACTTGTTGCGTCGACTTGTCTGTCTGTTTGTAACTGTTTGTATTTAATAATACGTTTATTTGGTATTGAAACAGTTGAAATCTATCAAGCAACATCTTTGAAAACTAATTATCTCAATATTAACTAAAAAGTTTTTTTGATCAATAATATTTTAGTGATAAGCTATAAAAATTAAAACAAATGATGCCACGGTAGTTTATTATGTAGTTATATATTATATATTATCAAAAGATTCTTTGCCACCAACATAACACTATTATACTTAATAATTAAATAATATAAAATATAGACCTATGTGGATATTTTTTCTTATAACAGAATGCTGTAATATTTTAAAAACCATATAACTATTTATCTAAGTTATAAGCATAGTATATACCTATCATCAAAATTAAATAAGTAGCTTTTTTTTTCCTTCAAATATTTCAAAAATCATTAATAAAGAAAAAGAA